ATTTAGAGGATCTATATGATTCAAATTCGATACTATGCAGAGGTTAGCTCAGGAAGGAGTAGGAAAACTGTAACAATGCGAGATTATTATTGTTACAAGTTCCAGATTCGGTCGAGTAATAACGTCATTCAATTAGGCGGAAGATTATTTCAACAGTTCGTGGTAGATATGTACATCAAGATAGAGACTACACGTTTATCTTTTATTGAAAGGAATCAAACGAAGATAAGATCAGACTTATACCAAGGTGTTGTGGATTGCGTTAATGTCGGTGAGGTTCAACCAAGTAGAATTGGACTACGGGTTGTGCTTCCTGCAAGTTTTATCGGAGGCCCACGTGATATGCGAAGAAGATTTATGGATGCTATGACTTTAGTTCAAGATGACGGGAAGCCCGATATATTCCTTACCATGACGTGTAATCTGAAGTGGCCTGAAATCCTTAAAGAGTTATTGCCTGGTCAAACCGCGCAAGATAGGTCGGACCTTGTTGCAAGAGTTTTCCGTGCCAAATTAGAGGATCTTAAAAATCAACTCTTCAAGAAGCACATTCTCGGCGAGGTTGGGGCATATGTTTATGTCATCGAGTTTCAAAAACGTGGTTTGCCACATGCACATATCCTCATGATAATGAAATCAGAACACAAGATTACAAACCCAGACCATTACGACAAGATAGTTTGTGCTGAAATCCCGGACCCGACAAAGTATCCTGAAATGCACGAGCTGGTGATAAAGCATATGATGCATGATCCTTGTGGCCATTTACGACCGTCTAGCCCTTGTATGGAAGGTGAGCCAAGAAAATATCGTTTTAGATATCCTCAACAATTCAACGACAAGACGGTGCAGACAGATAACTCATATCCGATGTATCAGAGGAGAGACAATGGAATAAAGGTGAACGTCCGGGGAAATATCCTTGATAATAGATGGGTGGTCCCATATAATCCAAAGTTGCTAACGATGTTCAACTGTCACATCAATGTTGAGGTTTGCTCAAGTATAATATCTGTGAAATATGTGTTCAAGTATGTTTACAAGGGTCATGACAAACAGGTTATTCATRTTGATCCTGATAGAGAAGAGGTCATTGTCAACGAGATAAAGAGATTTCAAGATGCACGATATGTTTCGCCACCTGAGGCAATATGGAGGATTTTTAGCTTGTCACTTTCTCAAATTCACCCTTGTGTGATGGCTTTGCAGGTCCATCTTCCTAATAAGCAGCTGGTTAGGTTCAGAGAGAATGATATAATGACAGATATCGTTGATAGAGAGAGAGAGAGACAAGAGCTCAATGTTGACCGCATTTTTTTAGAGGAATAGAACAGATATGAGTGCGAGACAATATTTATACAAAGATTTTCCAAAACATTACACCTGGAATGCCAGTTCACGTAAATGGAATCCTCGAAAACAAGGATCAATGAGAGGACGACTGGTTCATGCTAATCCTGCCGAAGGAAAATGATATTATCTACGCCTACTTCTGTCTCATATTAGTGGGCCCACGTGCTTTGAAGATCTTTACACAGTTAATGGCGTAATACATCCAACATTTCGAAAAGTAGCACTTGAGAGAGGTTTAATAGAGACCGACGATAATTTATCGCATTGTCTTGTTGATGCCTCCTTATTTCAGTTTCCCAATGCTCTTAGACGATTATTCGCGACGATCTTGATTTATTGTGAGCCGGGAGATGTTCGCRAGTTATGGGATGAACATTATGATTCACTCTCTGAAGATTATAGACGAGACTATGAAAATGTTGAGGGAGTCCGAAATATGGTTCTTACAGACATCGCAGTCTTATTGCAATCTATGGGTAAAAACCTCGATGATTTTGATCTGCCAAGTTTAAATGCAGTTGTCAATTTAGAATCACGAGGATTTCGTGAGTTACAAGAGGAGTACTCCATAATTGTGCAAGACGAAGACTTAAATGCTCGAAACTCTCTAAATTTCGACCAGAAACATGCATTTGATGAGATCATGAGGCATGTAGATAATGATTGTCCAGCTGTGTTTTTTTGTAGATGGACCAGGTGGAACTGGAAAAACATTTTTGTATAGAGCTTTGCTAGCTAATATTCATTCCCGTGGACTTATTGCTCTCGCAACCGCTTCATCCGGCACTGCCGCTAATAACATGCCAGGGGGGAGAACAGCTCACTCTCGATTCAAGATTCCCCTTACTCTTAATAATAATTCGATGTGCAATATAAAAAAACAAAGCAGAACTGCTCAACTACTTCGAGTCGCAAAAATAATCATCTGGGATGAAGCATCAATGGCAAAGAGGCAGGCAGTAGAGGCACTCGATAGAACAATGCAAGACATCACTGGGGTGAGACTTCCTTTTGGTGGGAAAATAATTATTATGGGAGGTGATTTTAGACAGGTGTTGCCAGTAATCAGACATGGTACTCGAGCACAGATCGTAGACTCAAGCTTACGGATGTCACCTATTTGGTCTTTGATTAAAAAGTTGCGGTTAACGATCAATATGAGAGCACTTACTGATCCAGGGTTTTCTGATTTTCTGTTACGTGTCGGCGATGGAGATGAAGAATCAGTAGATGGAAACTTTATTCGCATACCTGATGACATGACCATTCCTTACACTAGTAAAATGAGTCGAAGGATGCTTTGATTGATGCAATCTTTCCTTCTCTTCAAAGCTGTGAGACTGCTTCAGATTATATCATTTCGAGGGCGATACTAACAACTAAAAATGAGCATGTCGATGAGATTAATGATCAATTGATTGAAAAATTCTGTGGAGAGGAAAAAATTTACTATAGTTTTGATGAAGCAGAAGATGACAAGAATAACTTATATCCGATGGAGTTCTTAAACTCACTGAYTGTTAGCRGTTTGCCYCCTMATTACCTYCGGCTTAAAATTGGATRTCCAATAATACTATTGCGGAATATCGACCCCTCAAATGGATTGTGTAACGGCACGAGGTTGATATGTAGAGGTTTTCAGCAGAATGCTATCGATGCAGAAATAGCTGTTGGCCAACATGCTGGTAAGAGGGTATTTTTACCAAGAATTCCTCTATGTCCATCTGAAGATGATATGTTTCCCTTTAAATTAAAGAGAAAACAATTTCCCATTCGACTTTGTTTTGCCATGACAATCAATAAAGCTCAAGGACAGATAATTCCGATGGTAGGTGTTTATCTACCAGAATCGGTATTCTCGCACGGCCAACTTTACGTCGCATTGTCCAGAGGGATATCACATGGTAATACGAAGATATTAGTGAAACCTACCAAAAAGTTCAACCAAGAAGGAGTCTACACATCAAATGTGGTGTATCAAGAAGTTTTGAATGATGATTGTGTATGACAAAAACATGATTCTAATTTCTATTTTTTTCAAACATAAATTTTAGACTTTATGAATGAGAAATTGCAATAATTTTTCATTTTCGGATTTTGATACAGATGTGAACCACCAACTATTTGAAAGATATTTTGCAAAAAAATGATATTTAAAAATTGAATATATATCCTGATAGAACCTTTACATCCTGCCGCATTACGTAAGAAGTTGAATATATATAGTGATAGAACTTTTTACATATTTTCAAATATATATCCTGATAGAACCAAATATAAATTTTTATCCGTAATTGATATGCCCATTTACATCTTCTCAAAATTTCACATCCCGTCGCATTGCGCGGGTATACAACTAGTATATATATATATATATATTGAAGATGCAAGTTGAAGAAGATAAACAACACCCATCAAAAGACCACCCTTTCTCCTGCTAACAATCCTTTTCCGGCCAAACTGAAATAAAAAATCAATACCAAATCTAATCTAAATCCAAATCTCGAAACCAATTCACACCCTCTCTCTCCATTTTGCACCTCCAACCATACCATCGTAGTCATCTAAATCCTACCATCTTATCTGGTTGTGTAATAACCCAAAAAAAGAAAAAAAAAATTGAATATAATTTAATGACAGGAAACTCAATGGTCATGAAACCTACGACCATTTATTATGGCTTATCGTTTCATATTCCATGAAACCGCCAATGGGGCTTAGTATAAAGGGGAGTTTGTAGCTTTATGTGTAGTTTGGGGTCAAGAAGGAGAACTATTATGAGAAAAAGGCAACGGTAGGCGCTGTAATGAGAGTTGACGATGCTCTACATCGTAGCTAGTTTGGCACCAATCGGGGAGACGCTAGCCACTTCAAAGATCGGTTTGGGCTACGTCATGTATTGTGAGTTACACGTGATTTATTTTAAAATGGTTGCATGCTTTATTATCCACAAGTTGTTTGAAGTTTCTCGAGATTTTTTATATGCTATATATGCATGAAAAGTTCGATATTTTTGTAATGTCTTTTGAGTATTTGTGTGTCAATGGGGATGTACTACAATATGAATTTGTAAAGACGAGCATGCTTTGTGAGCTTGTCTAAGCCGTAAGTGCGGACATGCTGTGTGAGTTCGTCAGGTAATGTTGTGTGAGGTAGACATCTCTCATGACGTTGTTACTTTGTGATATAGACACGCACTATAATATATTTATTTTGTGAAAAGTATTATTCTCATCAAGGCATGCTAAATTTATGAAGCTTCGTGAAAATTGTTTATTATAAAAGTTGTTGTTCATGCATGAAAACCGTGGATTCATTGGGCTTAAGGCTCACCTAAAATTCTTTTAAAACTTTTTTACCCAGCCGGCTTTTAAGTGGCAATAAAGAGATATAAGGATTAACTTCAAAGAAGGATATGTGCAGATCAAAGCATTGTTATATAGAGCAAAGTTATGCTCCTCAAGATTGTAATTTAGATGGTGATATAATTTGTAAGATTAGAAATTTTATTTCCGTTGCAATGTAAGTGTTTGATCTTGGGATACTCATTAAGATATATTGAAGTATTCGAAATTTTGGGATGTTACAAGTGGTATCAGAGCAAAGTTTAAGTGAATTAAGTATTGAAACCTAAACTTATACTGAGAGTGGAAGATTTTATTATTGATAGGTATGTGATTAAAGATTTATTTATAGTGATGAGAGTGGTGATTTAAGTTAATTTGGGGTTAGTCTTAAACCAAATTAAAGTAGAGAAGTCGTTAGATGGTCTAATATCCTTAGATAGAGATGTGTTTATGGAAAACACATGGTAAGATGAGAAAAAATAGAAGTAGAGTGGTGTTGGTGGATAAAATTTTGGTGACAAACTCCACTAATTTTCTTTAGCGGGGAGAGCATATGTTTAGCTTTGAGAATAGTAGAAACTCGAAGTATTGATGATATAGTGAGTTGATTCATCCCATATTTGAGTTGGGGGATCATTTCTTATATCAATTGGTGGAATATCAAATAGTCAGATATGAGATTAGCAATGAAGTCATTCGTGTAATCAATGATGACAACAGATTCATGGTAAGAGTCGATGATCTTGATTGGATGCACAACTAGTTGAAGGATTTTTCAATCGAGTTGGAATGTCGAGATCATATGTAAACCCTATGAGAAGATCTAAGGTTTCTCACATGATTAGTTTCTTAAAGTAAAAGACACCAAATTAGTGTGTAAAATGGTCTTAGAATTTAGAAGACTGTGATTGATTAATCCAGTAGGACATTGGGGTTATATTATCCTCCATAGGTATCTCACGAGTGGTTGGAAGATGATATTAACTTATTTGATTTTATGAAATTGTTTGTAAGCATGTGTTGCTTTGAGCAAGATATAAAAGCAAGAAGGTGGTAAAAGAAAGTGTTATTTGTAATAAATTATCAAGTTTAGTAAGTGAGAAATATTTTATGGTTAAATAATAAGGTTTATCCAAGCGTATAACCTTTAAGCCATAAAAAGGGGGGGGGGGTTGGAATTGTTCCCATAGTTATAGCTAGAAAGAGATCAAAGTTAAAATAGTGTAAAATTGCATGAGATATTTTGCATTAAGTCAAAGATAAGTAAGTTGCAATATAAGTTGAAGATGATGAAATAAGTAAAGATGTGCACTTAGGACAATCAATGTTATGAATAAGGCATAATATCCTAAATATCAACGAGCATATAAAAGGTTACTACAAAATGCTTTATTTAAGAATGACTATATATAAGGGTATGAATTGAGTCATTAGAACCAAATGGTGGCATGTGTGTCATGAAAGGGGAGTTAATTGATTAGTTGGTAAAACAAGTAGCGAAGTCGACTGATGAGACGTATTTGTCGTCAAAGAAGAGAGTTGTGACTAGACTCTAGGATGAACACAATGATGATATAAATGAAAAATGGGTTAAGTTAATTTATATGGTTGTAGAAGGATGAATTCAAATATGAATCTGGTGAAAAGGGGAAATGATATAGTATTTATGTCATGGTAATTGAAAATGTATGATTTAAAATTAGTAAGAGTGGTAGTGGAGCTCGAAATATGGAAGCATCATCTATAGAATGGATTATAGCCTATACTCGATAATTGAAGATATTTCAAGGACAAGAGATAAGTACATGTATGTATAAGGGCATGAATATGAAAAGGTATGATGTATAATTGAATTGTGAAAGAAGATATCACAAATGTGATGATTATTTGCATGCATGTTGCCTTATTTTGTAGATAAAAATAGTATGGTGGTATCTATGTGGGGTAATCTTTAGTGACGGTTGGAATAACCACTTAGAGTTGAATATGTTCACTTATRATTAATGATTATCAAAGGAGTACTCGAGTAGAGCAACTCGAAGAGTTATGTGATAAATGTCAGCCGATTTGTCGAACTAACATCGAAAAGAAAAGAGACGGACGGATGGATCGAAGGTACTCCATCGTTTATTAGAAATATTGCTCAAGTTAGCGATGGATAGAATATTATTGGGATGCGAATATGAGTTATTCTCAAGGATGAACGGATGTTTAGAACTTCAGACAATAAAATAGTTGGTATGGTGAAATTTATGACATAATGTATCTAATGTAAAGAAGTGTTCAGTAGATAAAAAGTAAGTTGAAACTCTTAAGGATGTGAAAAGAAAAAAAAACTAAGAACCAAAGGGATTTCTCTCATGAATGTTCAATGAAGACGTCATAATGGTTCAGAGGTTACTTGGGAACTTGATAAGGGGACGAGATTGAGATGCCCTCATTTATTTGCATAGGGCAAATTTCGAGGACGAAATTTTGTTAAGGGGAAAAGTTTGTAATAACCCAAAAAAAAAAAAAAAATTGAATATAATTTAATGACAGGAAACTCAATGGTCATAAAATCTACGACCATTTATTATGGCTTATCGTTTCATATTCCATGAAACCGTCGATGGGGCTTAGTATAAAATGGGAGTTTGTAGCTTTATGTGTAGTTTGGGGTCAAGAAGGAGAACTATTGTGAGAAAAGACGACGGTGGACGCTGTAATGAGAGTTGACGATACTCTACATTGTAGCTAATTTGGCACCAATCGGGGAGACGCTAGCCACTTCAAAGATCGGTTTGGGCTACGCCATGTATTGTGAGTTACACGTGATTTATTTTAAAATGGTTGCATGCTTTATTATCCACAAGTTGTTTGAAGTTTCTCGAGATTTTTGATATGCTATATATGCATGAAAAGTTCGATATTTTTATAATGTCTTTTGAGTATTTGTGTGTCAATGGGGATGTACT